AAAACCGAAGGTGCAGGAGGTGTCTCTCCTGGAGCTGCTCCTCCGCCAAATGTAAATAACTAAGCCGCCGGCAAGGTTGCCCGACCCACTGAAGTCGTGTAGCACTCGTAAATAGTTTTTGCCTGCGAGTGAAAAGTAAACACATTTAGTTTGAGTGCAAATCGAGTTTGAATTTGCTTAAAGGTGCACAGCGCCGGAGCCTAGACTTTTAGCCCCTTGGACCCGTGTTTCCTGCTTGGGCTGAGTGGTGGTGCTGTGGAAATGGAGCAAATGGAGCAGCTCTCGCCAGCAGCAACTAACTAGATTTGCCAAATGCATTAAGCGTGAGCGAAAGCAGGAAAAAATATATTTGGCCCAGGCTAAATGTGCGGAAGGTGCTGCTCTCCAAGAAAATATGGAGTAAAGTGGAAAATGTGCAGTGAAAAGTAGACGGCAGAAAAAAGTCCAAAAACTTCATAATTAAAAAAAATTCCCACTTTAATAATTAAAATAATTTAAAATCTAAATTATGTTTAAAATTCGAGCTGCAGTTATCACAAATTTAAAACAAATAATTTTTATTTTATTTGGTATGTACTATACCATTTAAATAGTTCCCAAAAAGATTTTTTCTACCCAACTTTTCAACCCTCACTATTCGTCCCTGACTTGTTTAACAGAACTCTTTTAATGGCATAATGTCAGCTGTCTTCCGTGTACTTCTGCATTTACTTCTTTTTTCCCCAGCCATTTCGAAAGCTGAACAATTCAATTAAATGCTCAGCGAAATTATATTTCCACTGCACGCCGCGAGAAGTTTTTGTTGAATATTGCCAGTGACAGTGGCAGTTGGCAACTAAAATAGAACTAATTCCATATGCCTTGTAGCCAATTGGCAAAGAGACTGGGGAGCGGTGGGGCGGAGGATCGGAGGAGACTGGCAAACAGCTGCCCAACTTATGACATGAAAATAATGTGGGCGAAACAATGAATTATGCACTTGGAAATAAGTTTGGAGCTCGGTAGCGGCTAAATTGGAACGCGCGACGATGCGGTGTGGCCGAAACAAAACCAGTTGGCAAATCACTCATAAATGGCCCAAAACTGGGGCTCCCTGTCTCTCTGGTCATGGCTGCAACTTGCAACTTGCAACTGGCAACTTGCAACCACGGCCTGAACTGCAAAACTGGTAAACTTTTCGGCTGGCTGGCAAATGGTTGGCAGACAAGGGCAACAACAAAATTCGGTGCCATAAAATGTTGCCAAATGCAAAATGCGTGCATGGGGCTCATAATAATTCATAAGCAACATTTTGCAATGGCAGAGGAGATGGTCCGCCATCCCCTCACTCGGTTTTTCATCCACGCGAATTTGTGTGTGTGGCGCGTTATATTGCACAATAAACGCGTTAAGTTGAAAGTAATGCATCAACGTTTTGCGCGCGCCCCAAAAATGCAGTCAGAAATAACACTAGTCTACAAAAAAATACTTTTTTCCAAATCTTACATGTAAAGAAAATGTTATTATTAACATTTTATCAAATTAAATAAAAATCATCATGTAAAATAAAATTTTATTTTAATGACAATTATTTTGAATTCTTTAAAACTGTTTAATAAGTAATTTGTTTCATAATTTTAAAACCACTCTTGATTTAGAGTTACAAAATGTGTAGCCTAGTGTAGTGGCAGGAACACCAGCCACACGAGCAGCAACAATGCGGAGAATGCGCCTCCATATGTTGCCATCAGGCAGACTGACAAGGATGGAGTGAACATAGGCGACTGGATGAGGGCGCCAAAGCTTTTGAAAGATGAAGGAGCAAATGAGGTTGCAACAGCGGACGTGGAAACTGAAGCCAAATGCAGCCAAGGAAAATGAAGTGAAGTGCGAGGCAGACATGAATATGTTTGCCAGGCAGCGACTTTAAGGAGTTGCCACCGATCTGCGGATTAAGTAGTGAAAGGTGCTTCAGAAATGAGAAAGCCAAGCTCTAGGCGATTGGATAGAGACATCAGAAATATTTAATGGGATTTTAAGTAGGGCAACTGCGAAGCTGTATGTAGGTATTAAAGAGATTGAGGAAATAAACTTTTGAAATGGTTAAAGTAAAATCGATTGTTACTTAAAGAAGCTTTAAATTAATCAGACACGGTTTTGATATAATTCTGTTGGATCTGTAACCAATTAACAATAACTTCACAGCTAAAATATTTAAAAATTATAGGTCTTCTCTGGGGTTTGCTTTCTGCCGAGCGTAATTGCGCATCAAAAATAAATGTAAATGGTAAATAAATAATTATTCGATATTTATTATCATTGTAATTTAATCGACATGTGTTGTGCTTATTTTTGAAGCCATTATTAAATTTCATCATGGCTTAATACATTTAAAGATTTTTAAAACGTTTTTAAATGGAAGAATTTTGTTAAAGAATCAATAACGATTTTTGTCTAATTATTCACAGTTAAATATATAAAGCCAAGAACAATCTGTTAATCAATTTTGTGTTGTTACCCTGCCTTATACTAATTAATAAGAACTTTGAACCCTCCAAACAGCGTCAAGGAACCTCAGAGACCTATTTTATAAAGAAATGCCAAGAGAAAAGAAACTTAAGCTCCATGAACAATATAACTTGTTATTTGAAACGCCAAAATAGTAATTTTGGTCGGCAACATGAAAGTAAAATTATAATTAATAAATCCATCATTAAGCTCCCGCTGGTGCTGCAGTGGCTATCCCGCTGGTTATTTTCACTTTTGTTTATTTTTTTTTACTGTCACTCCACTCATGTCGAGGACAGGCAGTGCCACGCCCCCTGCAGTGTTAATAAAATGCGTGAAATTTCCATAGCCAGCTTGGGGGCGTTTATGCATCAGATGTGTTATGAATTTCAATGGGGCGTCAGGAAAAAATATAGACCGAATTCGAACTGAAAAAGTGCACTGCAAGAAACGAAAAAAAAGGAGTAAGTAAACGAGGCTTACTGGCATTGAGTGCGTTTTTGCGAAAGACTTTTTCTGCTATTCGGGGGCATATAAAGTTCTTCACGCTTTCGCTGACATTTCACATTACGTAAACGTATTTATGCAAATGTGCTGCGAGTCCTGCTTGCTACGTGTTTGAGTCCTGCTGCTCCTGCTCCTTTATCCTTGTCCAACTACTCACTACATATCAGCTTCTTTCGCCGAACTTCGGGTTGAGTTGGTTTTTTGTCGATGCGCCATATTTGCATGCATTTTAAATGACTCGGATATCAATTTTGACATATCACTTGACAGCTTAAAAAGGTTTATGTATTTATACAAACGAACACGCCAAACTGACTGTACTTTCTCTCTCTCTCTCTGCTTTTCCCTCTCTCTCCCTCACGCACAATGAGTATTGTGGACCTTTTTTCATAATAAAAAAGGCGGATTTTAAATTTATTGCTTCATTAAAGCTTAATGCCCAACGGCATGAGTGTGCGTTTTCGTTTTATTCATGTATGTATGGATCAGGTGAAATATTCAGGAAGCGGCTCTCACTTTTTCCAGTCCTTGTATTTCGTTACTTCCTTCACAGTTAAACAATGTTTTTAGGCGGCTTTAAAGCATTTGAAAGTCATCCAGCATTAGTTCCCGTGCGTTAAGTTTACCGGCGATATTTTATTGTTAACGCCACCATTGCGATGTTGCAAAATTAATACATTTGTAATGTAAATGTTTTGTTGCCGGGCGAACATTGAATAAAATTGCCCTGAAAATGTGCATGTAAAATGCATGTTAGGTATTCGTGTTATTAAAATGTAAACAATATTAGCTGAAAAACGGCGAAAGCCAGCCTAAATTCGTTGACTTTCCCTGCAATAATAATGCTTTAAAGAATCAATTTTAAGGTCGGTTTTTCCGGGGAAAAGTTAATCATAATGCTAGACCGAAGGAGAGGGCGGGCGGGGGTCAATCCATTAGTTTGGCCCACAAAACTCAAGTCGAAAAGTCAGAGTAAATAATTAAATTTGCTGCGTAAATAAAACTTGGAGTGTCCGCCAAAATGGCCAAAATGTACGGACCAGAAGCCGAGGAAACCACTTGAGCAGCTTGTCTACAATGTCAAAGGCAGGCTCTCCGACAGCCTCGGCTTTCAACCGACTTTCCCCCGACTTTCTCCGCACACTTTCGCCCCCTTTATCTGTCAGCTACTCCGATTGTGGAGCTGCTTTCATTTGGCATTCAGTGAAATTGCTTTTATTAGCGTATAAATCAACAGTGCAAAAATCGTAGCATACTTTCCAGCAGTCCGGCGTTTAAATTAAATTTATGCGCCATTTCGACTTGTTTACAAGTTGTTTGGCCGCCAGAGGAGGAAAGCCAACCCGAAGACAAAACGGACTAGCAAAATGGGTGAAGAGGCAATCGTCGTGTGGCGATTCACACTTGAAAAGTGCATGAAAGGCCGGGCTTAACGACTGCTCGAAGGAGTGGGGTCCTTCTCTCCCCGATACTCGCGCCATTGCCCATTATTATGCCCAGAACATAATAATAAAACTATAAATTAAATTAACTCATAAAAATTCCGTGTGCATAAAAGGGCAAGACCCCACCCAGCGTCCGAAACCCAAATAATAACTTTGTTTTTGTTGCAGCCCGCTAAGGAAACCGAGTGGGTGGCCAATGGGGGCGGCCATCTATCTATCTGTCTATCCGGGGCGATGTCAGTCTCAGGCTGCTGCGTTGTCCAAAAACTGCCCGCCAGAGACCGTTCGCCACTCCGTTCCGTTTCCCAGCCTTCTGGCTTCCTTCGGTCTAAAGCACTGAGAGAAACAAACCGGTAAATTCCTAATTTTCTATTTTAAATTATATAAAAAAATTTCTAGAGAAAAAAATTAAAAGTATTATAAAATATTACTTTCTTTGATTAACTTTTGATTTTAATTTTTCAAAAATATAAAAATAAATAATCAGTAAATACAAATTGTTGAGAAATATTTTTAGTCAGTATAACTTAATACATATGGAGATTTTTAAAGGGTTTATATTTAGAAAATCCTAAAAGTAAAATAATTAGACTAGGAATTTATATTTATATGCTGAAAACATGATCTCTTAATTCCAGTCTAATTATTGCACTTTTAAGAATTCGTTAATTTTTTCTTAGTACAAGATTATAAACATTTTTTTTTCAGTGATCTGTCTGACATTTTTCCACTTGCCCATTCTGCACTCGGTCTTGCTCGCATTTTATGGGGCATACATATAGGCGCTTTGGCTTGTAAGTAGCATGTAAGTCGGATGATTTAAATTCTTGTGAGCACACCAAAGCAAACGACGCTGCTGCTGCTGCTGGCTCCTCGGTGCGATATATAAAGCGTCAGCGCGCATATTTGATTTGATTTCATTGCCAGAACTGAGACTGGAACTGCCCAGTAGGCCATTCCATTGAAGAGGACGCGACGTGCCTGTAAATATTTATTAATGCTGTGCAACTTTCCATTGGGCTGAGAACGAGTATCCAATGCGATGCTTCTTCAGTGGCTTTGATTTTTATTGAACTCGGTTTGAAAATGATTTTGTGGACGCTGCCCAGCCAAACTTTATTTCAAATTTTTATAATCCGAATGGAGTGGCAAACAAGGAAATTGATTTGGCGCTCATCTATGGCTTTGAATTGGCTTTGATTTGAAAATTGCCTAATTTAGTGTAAAATATTTTTAGAAATAAGATAAGCGGTAATTTCGTGATTATCTATTTTTAAGGTTGACCGTAATTGGATAGTCCTCGTAATTAATTTTTGATGATAGTTTAAAGCGACCGATATTACATAATTTCCCCATTTATTTTATTCTACTTTCTTCTTTTTCTGTATTTTCCTCTTAGTTTTACTATCTGCTAATCTGTATTCCAGATGTTCGATAATTAAATACTTGATGCGATTCCTTAAGTGAAGATGAATCAAGTCCTTTTGTCTTAGCTTAAAGGTTTTCTTTGACTTGGCAATGCGTTTCTTGATCCGAATGATTTTCAAATGCTTCTTTGACCTTTGCTTGCTGATAAAGCCGATTTCCCGCCATGGATTGTTCATATCATTGGATTATCTAATAGGCTACAGCTGAAATTTTGTAACAATGCCGAACCAAATTCAATATTGATTGCTAAATCAAAACCAAATTTAATAAACTTCAGCAAGGGGGCAAACAAAGCGTAGCCGTCCGACAATAACAACAATGAATGCATTCAGCTGCGGAGCAAGAGGCTGTGATGATGACGTTTAAAGCAATTACAAGGGAAACCAAGCCAAAGTCCACGCCCACTGCCGCCCCTCTTGAACAACAATGTGCCTACAAATGCAAATTGCGCCCTGGCATACGTTGCGTATACGTAACGCCAAATGCCAGCGGCAAGAGAGCGCCAACAACAATGCATTTTCGCATTGCGTGAACAAAATAGTTTTGTGTTGCGGTTGTTTTTAGTGGCTCCACGGGTGCAAGTGCAAGCGGGTTTTCTGTGGGCGGTTAACGGTGGCCTGGGCTCCGGGGTGGGCGTGGCAGGCGTTGGACAAGGACTACATCTACTACAACTACTACAACAAGTGCAATGGCAATTACTGGGCGTGTAGCAGCAGCAGTCGTCGTAAGGCATGAGCTCAAAAGCAGAGACCAAAGGGGCAAAAGCTAGAGTTGCAATTTCTTTTCGCGGGCTTAACAAATGCATAACCAACTAGGAAGAACAAGCATGCAGCTGGGCCACTTGTAAAGGCAACGAAATCAGAAGTTCCCTAACTCAAAATTAAATGTGTTGAAAATATATCATTTAAAATATAGTCAATCATAAATTTTGAATTTATTATAATATACATTTTATTTATAATTAATCTGTTTTCACTTACAACTAATATATTTCTTTTTTATGATTTCAATGATTAAGAAATACTAATTTATCTATGTACATTTTAATAGATAATTTAAAAAGAATTTTAGTTCAAACTTGTTTTCCTTTAGCTAAGAGAATTCATAACACATGCATTAATACCCTATCCTAAGCTAACCCCGCGGCATTGTTGAGTTTTGTTTGGTTGATTGCTGGCTGCTCGGATGGTGGGTTGCATTGTTGTGTACATAGTGCAGAGCTGTTTCGCGTGCTGAGCATTTAGTGACACATTTTAGTGGTTGCCGGGAGCAAATTGCAGGTGCAAATCGAAAGATGTTGTCGCCAGGCCAACGGATCGCACATAAATGGTGAGTGGCCCAGGCCCATAATCTCAACCACCACCGGGGGGTTCACCAACTCAAAGCCACTCCCACACGCATCAAATCATGGCAGGGAAAACCAAAATTGACTCGAAGAAAATGGGGAAAAGAAAAGACAACACTGATAGAAATTATATAAATTTATGTTCTAACTATTTTATAGAAACATAATATTATTATGTTAATAACATCTTTAAATTCACATTCAGAAACTTAGAGAACGCATTTGAAAACTTAAGGTCTTTCAAAAATTATTTTTAAGAAACAGCTCAAAGATTACTGCCTTTTTCCTTCAGTGAACTTTTCCCATCCTCAGTCGTGTATAAATAAAGCTCACAAAATAATAGAAACCGGCTTGGGTGAACCGTAAAGAAGGGAGTGGGCTGCCGAGGTCAAGTTCGGAATCCATTTGTGTGCATTTCAGTTTCGGTTTAAATCAAGAGCGGGACACAGCTCCGGACAATCATTCAGGCTGACAGGATGTGCGCTTCACTGCGCTGATTGTGAGTCGAAAAAGGCTAACGAAATGCGAATGCCCATGCACAGAAGCTAATATATTGTGCAGGATTTCGTATAGTGTTCTTAAAGCCCAGCCATCGCCCCTCGAGGCCACTTTGCTAATTGAATTTATGCCGACGCCACTTGACAACTTCCTGTAACAAGCGGGGGGATGGAAACCCCTACCCCTACCCTTACCCTTAGCCTTCGTCTGGCAACAGTTGGCAACGTGTTAATTTAACAAAAATTACAATTGCAAGGCAGCCAGGCATCAGGCAGCCTCCTCCGTCTCCATTTTTATCCTTCATCTTGCCTTTTTGCTCATTAAGCATATGGCAACAAGGTGTAAATATGTTTGCCACCGCCACTCCGTCAGGCTGTAATATTTTTTTTCCCAGTTCGCACAAAAAGCACAGCCAAGCGAGCAGACATTTTCACCGCCGCCACCCTCTCTCCCTCATTTTCCTGCCCACTTTTAGACCAGCGACAAGCCTTTCTGCGTGTCCTTGTAGTCGGCTGTCGTCTAGGCTGCTTGCCATGACAATTTAAATGCCTGTTGTCTGCGCACATCCTGTGCAAAAAAGGGGTGAGCCGGCAGGTGGAGGGGGTGGAAAGTAATAGCCGCTTCTAGCTGCGGTTCCTTTAGAATCATTTTCCATCTTATCGAGGGTAGCAAAAGGGCTATTACAGGCCATCTAAACGTTTGAAATAAAAATATTGAAATTAAAAATATCAAAAACACAGCCCTTAGCTCTTTATTAAGAAGTATTTATAACCAATTCTAGATAAATTTAAATATTTTTTGAAACTTTTTTTTAGATTTTTATCTAAGCCATGCAATATTAAAAAATTTAGAAAATGAAGGGGGCTAACATTTCTTGTTAATTTGTTCTAAACTGATTTAATTTCATCTCTCGAATAAAAATTCTCCTTCAACGAGTCAACATTGTGTCGAGTCTTTTACATCACTCGTAATTGTTAATAAACAAGTTTTTTTATGTTGTATTCACACTTTAATGAATTGCATGTAATTACAAATGTATGCGCTGTTGATGTCGCGGCTTTCGCAGTCTTCGCTGGGGGTTTCCTTCTTCAATTTATGGAGAAGTGGAATAGGTCGAGTGGCGGAACAAAAGTAAAACCAGCGAAGGGAACATTGCCATTGTGGTTGAGATTTCAATAAGTGGGAAAACGAAATGACTTTGTCAATGCAGGGAAAGAAACTTTTAAAAAACCATTAAATATTATCAGGGTCTTTAAAAAGGTATTAAATGGATGAGCCTGTGGAGCGGGTATCTTTAAATTAGGATTGCTTTCAAGTTTTATCATTTTCAATATGTTGGTGAAGCTAAATGGAAACTTAAATTTCCTATAACCTTATCGCTTTTACAAAAATATTCCCCCAAAAGCAAGCTTTATTTTACTAAATTTATTTATTAATTTTAATAGTTTTGAGCAAATGTTTAATATCATAAACAAAACCATCTAAAAGACACATAGAAAGAATTCTTATTAAACCAAAATTACCTTTACTTAGAACTATTTCCTTGCAACCCCAAACTTTAAGCATCAGATAAGAAAGCTGGGAAAAATAATTTGCGGATGGCATTAGAACCCATCTCCGCACTTGGGGTTGCTCCATTTCGGGAAACCAATTTTGTCATATCTTTTGCATGAAATGTAAGCCACTAATTAAAACTAAGTGGCGGGGGCGGGACATCGTCGAAAATATCGCGCCCATGCCGTAACCTCTATTAACCCGAGCGACGCCCAATTACACTTTCGGCTACCGTTTTCCTTTTTTTTACGCGTTCTCATCGTCGAGAGTGTGCGAAGAAAAGTGGGCGGAGGCGCGCGGAAAATGGCGCTGACTACCCTCGAAAATTTTTGACATTTTGACAGGGCTACAAGTTTACAAGCACCGCAGGCTACAAGAGGCAACATCATCGGCAACAACGCCAGCACATGGGAACGCATTACGCATACGCAGCGTGGCCGGGGAATATGCGGGGTGTATATGTGCGAGACCCAATTCTAATTTGTTATGTAACTGTGTGTGCAGGCGTTTGGGTTAGATAGAAAACCGTATAAGTGATGTTATAACGTGCGGAGTTTTCGGCGCTTCAAGCATTTTGACCCGGCTCATTATGCTCCGTGCGGCAGAGGAGATGTTTGGGTGGTTTTTTAGTAGAGAGGCATATAAGAAAGTTGATTACTAGTGTAGTGCTTGCTTACATTACGTTGCTTGTTCTTCCCAATCACCACACCCTTGATGTGATCGCTATAAACGGAGCACAATATTTTGGAAAATAAATAAATAAAAATAAAAGAAAAAAAAAATAATTTTTAAGAAATTATATCTTTAAATGAAGCTATTTTACAATTGCTTCCATTTAAATGTTTTTAATAATTTGTTATTCTGCAAAACTTTTTAGTTAGTAGCAGTTCTTACAGCAGCATGTTGATGCCTAAAGTTTGGCTGTGAATTAAATATGGCAAAGTTTAATTTAATATCTAGTTGCAAAGGGTATTCAAAGCTGGATAGTTTGGCTCGAGGCGCAGTAGTTTTGAAAGGCCCTCGAGCGGTGTCACCTTGCGCCCGCCTGTCATCCTGACAAATGGCGCACGTTTTACATATGTAGTTACCTCGAACCCTCCTAATTTTCCTCCTCCTCCTCCGCCCACTGCCCCGCCCACTCTCTCCGGCGGACTGTGTAAATGTTATACAAAATGCCGCAAACGTGTGCGTGGCAAATTTGTAAAGTGCAAAATTTATGCGTAATGTGAGGGCGTTACGAAGGCGACCCCCTTTCACTGCGGCTTACAAGTTTCAAGAGGTCTCGGGATCCCTAGTTCAGTACCTCTCTCACTCTCTTTCTAACACTCGCCTGCCGTCTCTTTCTTTCGCGCAAATGTGGGGTGTGAAGTTTTTGGCATATTCAAGTGCGAAAAGTTGCAATTTGAGGCTGCTAACCAAAAAATATAACTGTCTAGTCTAAAGCCGAGTGCGAGCATATATGTGTGCGCGTTTAATTTTCTCACCAAGCTAAAATGTTTTCGGTGGCGCAGCAACATCCTCCATCCTCCAGCCTCCATCCTCCGGGCTCTTCCTCGCGCACTCATGCAAATATTTGGGTTGACTCTGGTGCTTTTGCTATGGCAACCGACGAAATGGCGGCAAAAGGTTAGCAAAATAACTTCATATGCTCACCGACGCATATTTGGATTTGGTGAAATTCATTAAAGTTTATGTTTGCCTTCGTGTTAGGACAACAATAATGTCGATTGCTGACTTTTAGGGCCTGCCTTTTTGCGCTTAATGTGTTAAAACTAATTTAAATTTATTTCAAGATGCCGCCGCCTTGGAGGAGAACATTTT